CTGGGCAGTTTCTACTTCTTTTGCAAATTACAGAACTGAAAGTATCAAACCCTGTGTGTATTCATCTCCTTTTAGATTTGTGACCTGAAGAGCTCTTTACAGAGAGGTGCTGAGTGCATTGCCTCCCTCCAAACCCAGGGTCTGTGTGGGTCTCAGCTGTATTCCAAATCCATCATAGCCTTAGAATACATGTAAATCTGTTAATAAGAACCCTCTGAACTTCTTGTTTTCTTCCTCTTCCAAAAGCACAGGCATCAGTACTGAGATCAGGCTGCAGCCAAGGAAATAGGGTCTTTCTATACCATGAGCAAGCCATGCTTTTGCGATATGAAGTTCCCAGAAATGGTAGCAGACGTCAAAATTTGAAACCTCTGGTCATTTTCATCTTATTTATGCTCTTCTGTTAACAAATGCCTTGTTTGATTACTTTTAAATGTTGTGTTTCTGGAATGAAAATAGAATACTGGCTTTTAACTCTGGCTTTTAATTCTCTCTGCCTTATTATTTCAGCTTATGAGAAGGCTGAGAGAGGGTTTTTTGTACAAAGACTGGATTGTTTTAAGATCATTGTAAAGCCAAATGTTTAAATACTGACCTTTTTAACTTACTTCCAGTGCTCTGCAGTAATTGGAAGAAAGCTTGAATCTTTTTCTAGGACTTCTTAAAAGCCCTTAGTTGATGGAAAAGTTTTATGTCAAAATCTTGGCTAGCTATTAGAACAGTCTACAAGACCCTGGTGGAAACCTCTTGTGTTCTGGGATTTCTCTGACTTGTGATATTGCTTTTTAGCTGGACTGACTTTTGTGATAATGAAATGAAAAAGAGAGCTGTAGACATTGTACTTGCCATGAAGCCATGCAGAAGGGGAGTTCAGGGTTGGGATGTATTTTGGTTAACAGCTGTTTTACAGGGCTAATGCAAAGGATATGAGGAAGGGGAATAGATGTCAAGCATTTGTATAGTCTGAAAAGTGCCTCAGAACTGAATATTTATCTCAATTTGGGGAAAATATAAATCTCCACCTGAAGTTCATGGCTGCATTTTCTTTAAACACAGCAGGTTCTGTCCATGCTTTGCAGCTGAGCAATTGTAATGATGTTGCTTAAGCAGAACCCCTTAATCTGGCACCAGAATTCTCTCTTGACCATCAAGGAATGAATTAGAAGTAACAGCAGATGGGCTAAGACTGGTAATCTTTTTGTGTGCTGAAAACAGCTAGAAACCTTTGCAAAAGCTCATCCAAAGCTTTTAATTGGTATTAAAAATGTTTATCACTAATTCACTGATAATTGGTGTCTAAATCTGTCAGCTCACAGGGCAGAGCTGCAGCTTCTTAGATCAGAAATATGTTCTGTTTTCTCTCCAGCTGGTTTCCTGTAAAGCACTGAATTATTCTAGCTTTTATGGGTCATTGTTAAAAATGGCAGGAAGGGTCATTGTTAAAAATGTTTTCAGAACTTTGATAACCAGTTTATCAACTGATTCACATGTTTAATCAGTTAATAGGTTTTCCTTTCCAGTGCATGGGAATTTCTTTGTTTATCTTAACTGAGTAACTGTTTCTTAACTGTTTCTCCAGTAGAAAGCACTGTAGTTGACTGATAATCTTTACAAATATGTGGAGTTTGCTCTTGTGAGGCAAATTCTATGGCCAGATCCTGCACTTTTACTCCAAATAAGTCTGTATTCATAGAGAATAGTCCACTGGGATAAAGTGCAAGGGTTTGCATATGAATGGAACCCCCAGATGGTTCTGTATTCTGGGGGTACAGAGCATGGAGCTGCAGTTATTAGGCAGCTTATGATAAGACTTTTAAAGGCATTTGGGTATTTAAAGAAGAAAGACCAGGTCCTTTTATGAATTTGACTGAGGAGCTGAGTGGTTCCTCCAATACCTGATCAAGAATTTCTTAACATGGTACTTTGTCACTGAAAACACAAATGTCAAAAGGTGCATGTTTAGCATGAAACACCTTGAAGAACTGAGATCCTCTGCCTCTCTGGTGGCCTGTTCTAGGGCTGCCCCACCTTTCTTCTGAAAATGTTCTTCCTAATCTCCAAGCTGAACTTGCCAAGACACCATTTTTGATACTGCCCCTGTTCTGTCATCTGTGTCAAGTGAGAAGTTTGGCTCTGTTGCCATTATAATTTCATTTCAAGTAAGGGGATTCAGTGTAGGCTACTTCCTTGCAGGCTGCTATTAGTAAATCAGCATCTCTTCATCAGACCAATGAAGCCAGGGCCATGCTTCAGATAAAGCCCACTTTGCCTTACTTGCTGAAAGCTCACTGTTGGCTCATATTCAGCTTGAAAATAGGTTTTTTTTCTGCCATTCCCATTGTAATAAGGCCGGTCTGCTCCTGTGTTTATAAACAAGCCTTAGGCCAAGCGGAACTGTAAACTTGTTTTTTGGTTTTTTGGAAATAAACTCCATGATGTTTGCTTTCTATGTAAGAAGCCACTTGGCATGGAAGATACACAATGATAAAGCTGCAAAATTTGAGTTTACATAACATTTATCTGCCTTGAAATTGCAGTTGCTTACAGAGCCCTGCCACACTCAGCTGGGTTCGTAAGAGGACCATATCCAGGCAATCACAGCAGCTTCTGGGACCTGGCATTGTATGTGCGTATGTGAGAAAGAGTTAGCAGCTTGGTTTCTGTGGTCTGGTTTCTTTCTAGATTTGTTCATTCCAGTTGCTGCATGAAGGAAATGTGTTTCGATGAACATAAATCATCAGGAAAAATGCAGGTTATGCTGGAAACATGGACATGGGAGATTTATTGGTATCCTTGGACTGAGGAAGGCACAGACAGTGGGTTAAGCCACCTCCAAAACTTGTGTTGAGTCAGCCACTGTTTCATATGGAGAATGAATTCACTGTTTTATTTGGTAAATCAAAGCTTCCTGAGGCTTGAGCAGGTTCTAGACTTGGAGAAGCATCGCTGTGTATCCACTATGGGGTATTTAACTGTGGATGCTGGAAAACAACAATGCCAGTTTTGCTTATGATGTTTGAATACTTACCTCTTTTAAAACATCTTTTATCCCAAAATATGCTTATTTTAAAAATGCTGCTGTGAAATACAGTAAAAATGAATGGAGTGTGGTGATTGGAAGCTGAGGGGGGTTTTGTTGTCAGTTTTCTGTTCTGTTCTGTTGAAAACCTGCTCTTTGTTGGAAAGTCAGAAGCAAATAAGATCTTCCAATTTGTTGAAGCTTTCTGAAACTTAAACCCGATTCATTAGGTACAACACAAGTGCAGAGTGTAGGCAGTTATTAGGATTTCAACAGCAAATACTGCAGCCCATGAAACATCAGACTTATTTCCTTCTTGTTTAAAACATCGCACTGCGCTTTGTCCCAGTTAAACGTGCTCTTGAGCTTTTATGTCAAAGTGAATCATGATCTAATGCTCACCAGATTAAATCTAAACGTTGCAGTATTTCCTTTCTAATTTTGGCTCTTCCCACTATGATAATATTATTTGTCTAGTCAGTTATGTGCAAGTGTGAATGAGAAGATGTAATTTTTTATGGGGATGCAAACACCCATGGAATTATCGCCCAAGGAAACCACGCTCCGCTTGCCTTCGCTTGATAATTAGGTAAAACGCATAATAAGATCCATGTCTCTGAGGCTAGCGTGGCCCAAAAGACTTCCATTTGTGTGAATTTCTGGTACAAATGTTAAAGATCCCGGCTACTTAATCGGTTGCTAAGCGACACGCCAAGAGCATTGGGGTTAATGGCCACTGGGCCTAGAGCAGCCTGCTCAGCCGAGCGGGTGCTGAGGGGAAGGGACAGGCAGGGCTGACACCGGCGGCCACCTGCGCTGTGGGTTATTAGAACATTGCATGTCAAAGCTGTGGTGGAGGGGGAGCAAACAGGCCCAATTACCGGGGCTGAAAGCCCCTCTCCAGCCGGCCGTCACTAACACACCAGATAAAATTTGACATCTCCCCCCCTTCCCCCTGCTCCAAACCCCAATTAATTTAAATGGTTTTACTGAGGGACCGCGGCACTGCTGAAAAGGCAGAGGACTTTGCTTGGGTAATCAGCTTAAATACCGTTTCCTGCCCTCGCTGCTCCAAACTTCCCATTTGGGAGACATAAATACTGGTTTTATTTTAAAATCTTTTTTAGCTCCAATTTCCTCCAGTTTTTTCTGATGTGCCTTCTCCAAGACGCCGTTTCAAAGCGCCAGGATGGTAAAGCCTGTAAACTGGATGCAGGCTGGAACTTCTAAGTTCAATGTTGATTGCCTTTATTGGAAGGAAGGGGTAATGAGGGGTTTCACATGGAAAAGGCACATCTTCTCTGACAGTCAGAAACTGGTGATAATTAGGAAGAAACTCACAGCTTCTTTTATTTTATACTTCTTAAGCATTCTTGCCGAAGTCAGTGTTTTGCATCTCCTGCTGCAGCAGCAGATCAGTGTTTTTTTGAAGTTAAAATAAGGTAACAGCTCTATGCGTGCATTTATAAACATATTTATATAGTATTTTATAATTAGTATATAAGACATGCCAACATCTGTGTCAGTTGTATAATAAGCTTTGAAATGGCAGTACTACAAGACCATGTATAGATAGAAGTTGTTCCAGAAGCATCTTCAAATTCAGTATGAATACATAGTTTGGCTTCTGCCAGGACTTAATTCTTCTCTGCCGTTACTCAAGGGAATTTCCATCAAGTGGAAGAGTGCTTTGCGGGGTCAGGGTCTTCACTCAGGTGAAAGGCTTGAGTGTGTTTAATTTTAGGAGGGTGAGTAATCTCTGGAAACATTCCTGTGCTTCAAATTAGCCGTGCGCAGAATCTTATTCCTGTATTCACCAAGAACTTTTTGTCCATCACACCCCCCTTCTTAAACCGATGGGGGAATTCTGTCTTCCAGCAGGAGAGCTTGGGGTCAAAGAAATATCCCGCTCTTGAGAGTGTTTGTTTCTTTTAAATGACAGTATTTCTCTAACTTCACATTCTCTCCTTTTCTTAACAAGCAGTAGCACTTGGCCTAGAAGACAAGCTGCCTTCCAGCCACAATCCCTCACCATGGCTGAAGCAGCGGTGACCTCCACAGATGGCAGCCAGCAGCAGAACCACAGTGGGACCTGCAGCGATACAGTGAGTCCATCTTCCTTTTCCTACCTGTCATGCCATTCTCAGAAATTCCTGCCCAACCACTTTAGGGATCTATCTGAAACTCTCGCATGTTTTTAGACTAGAGGCTGTAAGTGACACTACGCAGGTTTCTGGAGACAGGTACATGTTACGCGTTAGGAGAGGTTCATCTGCTCCTTAAAGCCCAAGTTAGGAACTGTGTGGCTGTTCTGGGCTTTCAATGCTTACATGAGGTGTACGTGTCCACCTGCACACAGTGTGTGTTTGACAGTCTGTGTTCAGAACCTAACTGAAATCTCCTAAGAAATGTTCAGAAGCTACTCTGATGTTAAGGAAAATTGGTCTGCAGGAAAATCCAGTCTTTTATCCCACCATTGTAATGGATCAATCTTTGTTTCACAAGGAAGGGGCTGGGTGGTGGTGCTATTAATCGTGTTAGTTGATTGGAAATGGCATTGGGTTCCACATCCAGAGTTTTCCCTGGTGCTTTGTAATCAAGCAGCTGGACTCAGCTCAGCTCCTGCAGGGGCACTAAAATAAATTGACAGACATTTGCAAATCTGTTGCAAACATCCCTTCCAAAGCTAAGCTTAGGTAGCTAAATGCAGTCAAGCCTTCTTAATCATTAACAACCTAACAGTCATGCTTAAAGTGTGATTTTCTCCGGGGAGAAAGATACTGCATTCATGTCCTGTCAGAAGCACAAGTATTCACTTCCATCCATCCCAACCAGAAATGGGTAATAACTTTTCCTGACTAGATTTAATGGGAAAGACAGACTCTGTTCCCAGGTGTTTGATAATTGAGCAATTGCTTGTTTTTAACGTTTTATTGATGTCAGTTTACGCATTTGCTAACATTTCTTGTTTTAAATGCTATCCTTCGTGCTGCTATTTCTCCAGCGCTGTTTTTCTAGCGTTGTTCAATGATGAATCATGAACATTATATATGTGTAATGCTTTATATATACACACATATATATTTATATAAAAATCTGGGTGGTGGCAGGGAGAGACTTATTCGGTCTGCTCCATCTTTTGTTTTGATCTAGTTGCTATAGAAATACTAAGATCAATTTTGACAGAATAAAACTCTACAAATTACATTGTCGGATGACCTCATTACAGAGGGCTGGCACTTTGGATTGCAACATGACTGAAAGGAAAAGCGTGAAGGCTACAGGAATTTCTGCTCTATGGAAAAATGTTATTTTTGGAGTCTTCGGGAAGGCGTGCATATAAACCCCCGGTTCCCTGGTGAGTGACTGGTCCCTGAGACCAGCAGAACTTTCATCTTAATTTTTGGTTGTGGTAGGTGACATCATATTTGGCCATCCATTTACTTTAAGCTGCAACTGGCATCTCCCTGACAAAGGCCTCCATGTTTTTCCTGTCAAACACTTAGGTAACTGATTTCTTACAGCAAGACTGATGGAATGAGTCATTTTTATTTCCTGTTTTAGTGTCACCTAATACCTGTGTGCCTTTGTATTGGTACTACTGACACTGGTTTTGTGATATTTTCCTTTCCTGATTGAGTAGAAAGTACCGCACTGTGCCTTACAGTCTCAAAACTGGCTAACAGAAACAACTGCCCTTTAGTTCCTTAGCAGTGAAGGGCATGCTTTTAGAACAAGGAGCTTTGAGGTGTAGTCTGACTTGCAATAGGAGGTCTCTGTGCTCTGTGGAGACAACCCTGAAATCTCAAGTTGCTGTGGGTTTCTTTTTCATGCTGGTGTCACTTAGACATGTCTACATGCAGATATGGGCCTTGCTTGGGAAAGGTTTGCGGTTTGAGTCAGGAAAATGTCTTGTGTCTTGCTCCAACTACTTTAGTAGAACTTTATTGCTGTGTTAGTAAAAGACATGTTTAGTACCAGGTTTTATTTAAGAAACCATTTATACATTGTCATTATTTGTATACAGGGACACAATCTGTGTGATTTGGCAAACGGTTGAGTCACTCTGTTTTTCTTCTAGTCAAGAATATTACTCTTGCTATATCTAATCTTGAGTTGTAAATTGCAGCAGAGGTACAAATCCAAAACAAACATTTTGAAGAATTTGAATGGAGTAGAGCCCCAATTTCCATTTCAGTACTCTCTCTGTTGTCCAATTTGTTAAACTCAAGTGGTCCCATGTGTGAGTAGCATGACTGCCAGAAGTGCTCTCCAGCCATCTGCTTTTTTGGTAAGTCTTTGATTATTGCTTTGTCCATTTTTTCTATCCAAAATTAGAACTGGCAACTCAATTGGTTGATTAATATTGTATTTTTAATAATTTAACATTTCCAGCTTATGGCTAGGGAATGGCAGCAAGGTAATAAAAAGCACAAGAAATAAACTTTCCTACTGGCTTTCAACTGCATTATGGTGGGGCTTTTTTACCCCCTTGTTTCAGCCTGTGAAGAGTAGCAAGAGAATTGAATAGGAGAAGTTTTACTGTTTGTGGGTAATGTCAAACTGGAAGGAAGAGACATAGCAGCCTGCATTAATTTGATGAGCTGTCTTGGAAATGTGAAGAACTGCCAGGCACTGATAGAGGCATTCGCAGTAGAGCTGAACTTAGAAGCTAGCACAGCACTTGAATCTGAACCAAACTGTACAGTAGAGGAACAAAAGTTAATGAACCTGAAAGCGGTTCAGAAACCTGTGGGAGAGACTCTGATCTGTGTCCTGCAACTGGATGGGGCATGTGATCTGATTGTCTCACTGAAACTTAACTAGAGGTTCTGGGATTCTTCGCCGAGAAGGGCTGAAGCCTGGTCCTGTGCTGGTATCCAGAGGCACATGAGGGAGTCAGGGCAGGAGTGGATGCTGTGAGGTGTGATGGTACACTGAAGTGCACCAGCCTCTGGCTAGCTGTTCGTACTGCTTCAGGTCATCAGAAGGAACTACTAGATCTTTCAGAGGCTGTGGTTCATTTGGGCTGACTTGCAGAGTTTAATACATTGGTGATGAAGGGAAAGTTGGCTTCAAAGGAGGCAGCCTAGAGGACTCCTGAATTTCAGCCAATCCCCTCACACAACCTCTCAATCCATACGTTCATCCTCGTAATTTCGCTTACTGTGTTGACAGAGGGAAAACATTTCCTTCAGACCATAAAGGGCTCTGGAAACTCAACTCCCTTTGCATATCAACAGTTACCCTCTGATTGTGTAGGAGACCTTGGTTTTCATCAGAAAGAAAATCAGAAGTTCACAGAACTGGTGGTTTCAGGGGTGCTGTCAAGGGTGGGCTGCTCTGGCCTGGTGTATCTGGCTGGTCTGCATCTCTTGACTTGCAGGCTGTTAATGGCCAGTAGTGCTCAGAGTTGTCAGGATGGAGAAAAGGCAGGCACTGATTCCAAATACACAAATGCTCAATACATGAAAATATTTTTGTTTTAAATTATAATAAAGGAGGGAGGAGGGAAGAGGAAAAGGGAGTGATTTAGCAAGTGGGGATATGGTGGGAGCCAGCCAGGCTGGGGCTTGCTAATATCTGCACTAGGCTGTTGAAAAGTGTTCTAAATCCATCAGAAGGTCCTGAGAGCTCAGCTCTGCCCAGTCTGAGTTAGTGGTGACAGGATTGGGCCCTCTATTACTTTTTATGTGCTGTTATAAATTACTTTCCCATATTTCCAAAGCCATTAATGAATCTTTTAAAAGCACATTGTGAAATCATTGTATGTGTTACTTCAACTACTTATCCATATGTACAATAGGTGAATATGATACATGGGCTTTTTAGTTTTGTTTTGCTTTTGCAAAAACAAAGGGCAAACTACAAATCTTTCCTCCTTTCCCCACTTTGATTTTTCCAGGTAAAATGATGGCAGATGTACTCAGCTCAGTTCCATAGAACACATTGCTTACTGGCAGGATGAATTTAGCTCTCTGCGCTTTTACTGTAAACTTGGTTTTGTTTTTTGGATGTACTTCTAATTTCCTTTAAACCATTTATGAACAGGTTAGAAACACTGTTTCATGCTGTCTGACTCTATTTATAATCAGAGCTCTTGATATGGGTTCTTTAGGAATCTGTCAAGTAGGAACAAGCTGTATGGTAAACAAGCATCTCCAAACTCTTCCTGCTGCAGAAATACACATTGTTTTGTTATTCCTTAGAGCATTCTGCCTTTACCTAGTGTTACAGTCAGGGATTTAACTGGTAATTGTTATTTCCAGGAAGAATGTTTGGTTTTAATCCTCTAGGGTACAAAAAGAAGTCATTTTTGCAACAGCATTCATGTTCCATTAAAAATATCATTAGAAAATTGTGGGAGCTGGGGTTTTGGTGACAGAGCCAGAAGGCTGCTGGCTGCTTTGCCTGCTCACTTCAGTGACATTGCAAAGCCAAGACAGTGATTCACTGTCACTGGACATGATGACCTCCAGAGGTCCCTTTACACCTAAATTACTTTATGATCCCATGAAAAGGGAAGGTTCCCTGTGCTTTCCAATGGGCTCTGCCACTGAAGTGATCCACTCTGCCTCTGCATTTGCTGGTGATGATAATGCTTCTTTCTGTAGCTGTAAGAATACAAGAGAGGATTTTTCTAAACCATTGCCGATGAGCTTGACCGTCCTCCAGTGGCTAAAAATGAAAAATGACCCACAGCGTTGGGAAGATGACAACTTGATCAATACTGAAAACAGCCCCATGATGCCCTGTCTTTCCAGAGGTGGAATGGCTCTTGTAATGTAAGGTGGTAGGATAACCCTGAGAGGTTTTTGCTGCATGGCTGGTAAGAAAGGGCAGGTAGAGACATAATGAAAACCATGACTTTTCAGTGTGGAGGGACAGACCTTGGGAGGATTTGTCTGTGCAAGCTACACACCTTTAGCTCAGGTTGCGAATTACTTTTCATTTTGGTGAGAAGTTGCTCACATGAGCACTCAATTCCAGTGGGATCTGTCATGACCTCCTTACCAGTAAAACTTCATTGCTCACTGTGTAGTGTGAATGTTTTCTGCTTTGGTTTTGAGTATGGCAGCTTGCAAAATAGACTTCTCTTGTAAGGAGGAGTAGAGTTTACTTTCACAGATGTTCTACAGAAATTCTGGTTTCTAATACTTTCTGCGTGTATATAACAATTCCAAAATTAAATCTGAATCAGGAGGCCCCTAACATCTTTTCTGATGTCTGTTTTCTGGATTCTAGCTTTGTCTATTGAGAGGAAAGGTGGATTTCGGGCAGGCAGTTGGCTGTTCCCTTTGCATTCTGATGCCAGATCTCTACCTCAGGAAAACTGCAGTTACTACTTGTATGTCAGTTGGTAGAAAACAATTTGGGCTTCAGGAGAATGAGAGCTGTGGAAAGAAAGATGCAAGACATCATTGATAAGCTTATTTCTGTGAACACTGACAAACTTTGTCATTCACTTTGCAAGAGAAATACATTGGGTTAAAGGTTTAAAATATGCAGCTAATAGTTGACTGAGAGCAAGGGACGGTGATGGTGTTTAAGACCTTTATGTTTTTATTATCTCTCTTTGCTTTGGGCCCATAAGCAACAGATATCTTTAAAAAATGATTAAAAAAGAATTAATATCTTCATTTATACATTAGCTCCTTGGACAGAAAGATGGAAAGTTCCTGAATACTGTTGTAACATAACCTTGTGACAGCACTGCAGTGTAGGCTGGTGTCGCCAAAGCAATGGTCTCTGTGAAAGCGTAGCAATGAACATGTTTTTAATGCTTTCTTCCTTCTAAATGTAAAATTCAGGCACCCACTTTTTTACTGTTATGTTGGTGATACCCTTTTCATGAACTGTCCTGGCTCTTCTGCTTCCACCTGTTCAAATCAATGGCATTTATTAAAAAACCTCAGTAACAATACCACCAAACCCATGTTGTTGTAGGGCAGAAGTCCACTCCTTCAACCGCATGAGCCCGTCAGTGAATTTCTGACACCAAGTTATGTTATTTAATGAGTGCTATTAGGTACTTCTGTCACTTAATAGGATTGAGGGTTGGAAATGCCATGTAATATCACTTCACTGGGGAAAAAATCAACAAACAGCGCTCACTGAAAACCTCACGTCCCCTTTGATGTCGGTACGACCTGCTGTCACTTCAGAAAGGAACCCGCCGCGGCTGTTTCCACAGGGCTGCAGCTGCCATTTCAGGACAGGCAACAGTTATTCTTGGCAAGTCTACATCGGGGGCACCCCAAGAACAAATATTCTCCCACCATCTGATTGAGAGTGAAGAAATATGGAAGAGTCATGGCCCTTTGCAGGCTTTTGTCCATGAGACATCATCTAGTTCAA